ACTTTCTCTCCTACACTATGAGAAAGGCCCTACCTGCTCGAGGGCCCCCAGGGGGCAGCGGCACTACGCTTTTCGCCTGCACTAGCGGTCGAGGGATGGCCGTTGGTGGGAAGCGGACCGCCGGGACTCTCGATCGTCCTTCCCTATATAACGTAGTCTTGATTCATCCTTCGCGTAGTACTAGCCCTACTACCTGACGAATCCAATACTGCCGCCAAGGTTCTTCTGATGTCGCTTGCTGACCAAATGCTGGTCCACACAGTCGTCGTCCCAAAGTGTAGTCCCACAAAGCCCACCTGCACGACCAAACTTCATCACCAATACCAATACCCAGTATAAAAATATGCACATGGTCAACCACATGTGTCGGTGTCTATAGACGATTTCTGACGAAATTTCAGGGAATTCTTGTTAGTTTCTGTACATGTCTAACTCCTTGAAGTAGTGAGGAAACATCTGAGCTCAGCTGATGAGGGAAGCGAGTTAATATTCCAACACTGTCAATACCACTCCTTCCCTACATTTCCATTCCTTGTACTCTCCGTTATCTACTATATCTATATACGGCGGCCAGCTCGCCTAGCAGCACTGATGCTCTATCCCCTGAGTGCTGACGCTCCCACCTTCTTTTTCCCAAGATGGGCATCAACATCAAATACAATCTTAGCTTGCTCCGCTCCGCCTCCAGGACGGTAACTAGATGAAAACAATGTACTCAAAGGGCGATGGACGGAAACACTACCGAGGTAGTTTGTTGCCATCACAGTTCTTTTGATGTCTCTGGCCTTGCAGATGGGACTCAACCGAAGCTTCAGCGCATATCCTACAGCAAATGAAATTCTCAAAAGGAGAGCCTTCCCAACTTGCTCACATCGCAGAATTGCAGAGCTCACACCACCACCCGTTTTCACAGACACATAGGTACCTGTGACGGGAGACGATAGGCGAGTTTAGCACGTATAAGAAGGCTCACTGTGGCCAGCCAAAAGAGACATCCCCTCTGGCAAGGATCTTGCTACCATCACTGGCTTTCTCCCCCTCCTTCCCTCGGACCGCGGCAGTAGCGTATAAGTCGTCAGAGCCGCGCACTGCCGCACTGC